AGACTGAAAGATGATCGCTCCTAAAGCCACAATATTCACTTAACATACTACATTTGTTTTAATCCACTTTAATGTCAGTACGAATCATATACGTGGGAAAATATAAAACAATAAACGAACTTACGCATACACACACAAAATATGTTAAAGTTTAGTAACAGTTTTTGTGATCTTTAATAAAACAAATTAAACCTATTATTATTCTTTGTTAATAAAGTTATTAATTACTTAACCCTCTGTGTCTTAGCTTGTTATTTATAAATTCCAACTACCTATAGCACATTTTAGTTTACACTGGTAAATGTTATCATTATTTTAACTATCCAACTGCCCAATAAGTACTAAAATCCGGCCAAACTCAATATCCGCCAAATACTAAGTTAATATCCGTTATGACTCTAGTTACCCCGTATAGTACCAAACATTTATCAAATATGTACATTATGGCTGGTAAAGCAGATGAATACAATAAGAAACCTTAAAAAAAAAAAGTACCACTTTCATGAAGGCTTACAACATGTTGAGCGAACCAATCCATATACAACCCACGGCCCAATGATTAGCGTGCCGGACTGTGAATCCGAAGTTCCATGGATCGTGCCTTGCAACCGCCAAAAAATTGTATTATAAGAATAACGGTGAAATCCCGCTATTCCATTACAATAGCTCACGGGATGGCGGCAGATTGTGATGGTTAGTTGCCTTCATCTAGTCTATCACTTCAAAATTAGGGACAGCTAGCACAAAGACCTCGCAAATGGCCTTCGATTTTGTAGATGGCTCCGTTGTTGTTTTTTTTAAGCGAGTTAATTGTTAATAATAAGGCTCTTGATTTTAACACTTGTGTAATTATGGTACTTATGTCGATGTTATGTTTATTGATAAGTCGTAACCAATAATCCAAGTAGGTTTCCACTGATGTGTTCAACATGAGGAATTGTAGTGATGATAAAGTTGAAGTTGTTTTCATCTTTAACATTTGTATTTTTATGTATGTTTGACGCTTTTGTGTTTTTGGATGTGACGATTAGTTTTTAACAACTTCTTCCGGATAGTTGTTTTTTGAATAAAGATTTCAGAAATTATTTTTAGATCACCGTCTAAATTGTTTGCAGGGCATATACTAAATACTATTAGCATAATACATTTTAAAATTTCTAACTTCCCTTGTATGGAGTGTACCGAATTGCTATTAAGGTATTCTTCTGAGTTCGTTGCTTTTTTATGAATTTTAGTCTCCAATAATGATTGTTTTCTTATGGTGTGGACGTTTAGAAAACTTATAGAGAAATTTTCTTCGTATTCAATTATAAAATGAATATTGGGATGTATGTCGTTGATATGGTTTGTGAATTTTTCTTTTTCTTCGTCAGATTGTCTTTGTTTGTTTTGTTTTTTGAATTTTCGCGCAAAACTACATGAGGACTATCAGCGCTTGCCCTCCATAACTTAGCAGTGTAAGACTAGAGGGAAGACAGCTAGTCATCACCACCCACCGCCAACTCTTGGGCTACTCTTTTACCAACGAATAGTGGGGTTGACAGTTACATTATAACTCCCCCACGGCTGAAAGTGCGAGCATGTTTGGTGGGACGGGGATTCGAACACGTGACCCGCAGATTGCGAGTCGAGTGCCCTATCCACCTAGCCATGCCAGGCCTCTTCTTCAGAATGAAAGCTGCAAAAAACATCGTCGACAAAGCTCACCCAATATGATGCCCGTCTTTTCCAGCTAAATTAAAATGTGTTTGCTAATGCACTTATAGTGTTCCACCCATACAGACGCCATCGATTTGACGATAGGTGGTGTAGTTGAATTTAAAATAGAACTTCTTGGCGAGGTTAAACAAGATTAGAAGGTTTGTTGGGAATGTGCAAATTGTGTGTTTAATTATTTCTTTAATTGCAAATTTATAGGCTTCTTTTTCTTGGACTTTGAGTATATAGATAAAAAAAATAATAATGAAAGTCAATGTTCGAACCAATGGTGGAAAAATGTTTTTTTGTTCATCCAGTAAACAAACTATTTTTAAGGTTTAGAGGCATCGTTTAACAACATTCTGACCAATTTTCACAAAACCCTTACCATGAACAACTGAGAAATGAGGTTAGGAGTTGTATTAACCACCATCATCCCAGATAAGCTGATGGTATGCCTGGAACTTCGCTAGGTGCGATTCTTCCTCATGCATGCATTCAACTTTATATAGTTTCAATTGGAGTTAAGCCTGACAGGAAACATTATTTGAGGCTTTCCATCTAATTCTGTCTTTTAGATGCAGTAAGCTATGACTGCTAAGATTCCTTACTATGACCAATGTATTGTTCGTTCGTTTCAGAAAGTTGCATAAAGCTGCATAAGAACTATCTGAACTAGCTGTCCCTAAAGTTTATTTGACAGATTAGAGGGAAGAGTTCTGGTCAACATCAACAGCTCTTGGGCTACTCTAATCAAACAATGGGATTTGACTGTCACTATTATAATGCATCCATGGTCCCAAAGTACAAAGCTCAAATGCAAAATTTGGATCCTTGGATTCACAATCCAATATGTCAACCAATAAGCCATGCTTGGTCCCCACACGTATGTAATAATAAATTATATTTTGCTTTTTATTATTTTAAACTGTATAGGACACAGTAACTAGGAAAACGGATTGGTTTACTTGACATTTTCAATATGTTCAAACTATTTGCTAATCAAATTTACAATATTAATTTTTTTCAAGCAAAGATACAAAGTTTTAATACATTGAATTGCTTTTGATATCTTTATCAGTACTTTAGGTGATCTGTAACCAAATTAATGTAGAATCTCCATCATGTACTTGGAATCAAGGTCAGAATGTAAAGTGCCACTTTCTGACAGTCTTCCAATACAACAAAACTATGTAAGGATTGACATTATGGGATAAATATTTAATGGTTTCATTACACAGATGCCATAATTATATAATTTTTGCTTTAGATGCAGAAAAACATAACACACTATAAGTAAAAAGAAAAAAAGGGATCTAAGTATGCCAAAATTAAGATTTTTTTCAGCACTCATGTCAGGATTACTAAACCAAGAGAACAGATTATGTATGTGGACATAAGTTTTTCAAAAACTGTGAAACTTTGTGTGTTAACATCAAGTTTAATATATTTTGACAGTCTCTTGTATATTTAAATTTGGAGATTAAACATTTCTACTTTACCAAACCTGGCTGATTTTAGTTTCACTCTAAGTAGGTAGCTTACTCTGATTGGAAGTTAATGATAAAACAAGGATTTCTCCTATTATTTTTCCCACAAGGGTAAACACATGTACAAATTTTATATTTTTTTATCAAAAGGATTTACAACACTTGAAAGCTAAAGAATATATATAAATGTATAAATAATTAGGATGAGGAATTTATGAAATGGTGAATTGAAACACATATACACAAACCACAATGCTCCTGAAAATATAAAAACAGCATAATCTCAACATAGTAAGATATAAACAACATCTCCAGTTACTAAACAAACTAAGTCTTATTCCACAGTGGCCATTTTAACTACTAAGAAGCAAAAGTGATATTAATGTGTTGATTTAATTGCATAATCTTATCAGTCCTGATCTACTGAATGTACACTTTAATATACTTTACACTGCACGTACAGTACAGACATTGATACATTGCTATATCCTATTTACTATATGAAATGGTGCTAAAAGCCATAAAATGGTTACACTCTATTGTTTAACAAACACTACTATTACATGTATAAAACAAATAATTGGTGTAGCAGAACACATTTTCATGTAAAGTTACCAAGCAATGGCCACAACTACTGTCCTTTGTCAACGAGCAAAACATACCTAGTGTATTACATCAAAGGTCATGTCCAATGGATCGTTTTAAAGACCAAGCCATTTCTAATACCTCATGTTAAAAGTCAGAACACATCTAGTGGATTGTATTAAAGGCAGTTAATATTTAGTGCAATATGTCAAAAGGAAGGTTATGTGTAGTACACTTGTCTCAAACAGCAGTCTATGTCTGATGCATTATGCCAAAGAGCAGGTTACATCTGGTGCATCATAACAAAGTGCAGGTTATGTCTGGTGCATCATGCTAAAGAGCAGGTTATGTCTGGTGCATCATGCAAAAGGGCAAGTTACATCTGGTGCATCATGCAAAAGGGCAGACTATGATGCATCATGCAAAAAAGCAGGTTACATCTGGTGCATCATGCAAAAAAAGCAGGCTATGTCTGATGCATCATGCAAAAGAACAGGTTACATCTGGTGCATCATGCAAAAGGGCAGGCTATGTCTGATGCATCATGCCAAAGAGCAGGTTACATCTGTTGCATCATGCCAAAGAGCAGGTTATGTCTGGTGCATCATGCAAAAGGGCAGGCCATGTTTGGTGCATCATGTCAAAGAGCAAATCATGAATTGTGTCACACAGCAAAGTTAAACAAGTCTAATATGTTAAGCATATTGGTTTCCATGGCTTTCCCAACGTTTGGAATTTACCATTGTGATATTTAACATTTGAATTGTGTTTCTAATGCCTACAACAAAAAAATTAACTACTATACTAATTGGCTTCATAAGAACTATCATAATACCAAATGAAATATTTTCTATAATATGCTTAAAGCAATGGATAAAGTTAGCAAAATGGATAGGTTATAACTCCTTTATAGTTACTACAAAACTAATAACCAGTTGCTTGAGTCACAGGCTGTTTGTTTCATGTACTATTCTAAGAAAACTGTCAAATGTTCAGAAACAATTCCAAAATTTAAACTCTCAGTTTTATTGAAAAAAGCAATAAACAAACAAATATACTGCAAATAACTGGTTATATTTTTTTTCTCATTTCTTTCTTCCCAAAAACTTCCTTGGCACTGTACAACATATTATATACACATATATTTAGAATATCTGAAATTTTACAGATGTTTCTAAAATCCAAGTATACTTATTTTAGAAACAAGGAGATGATAAAAACTCTCACCTTTTCTCCAGAATGTCATCACCGACTTCATCTTGACCCTTTAATTCATCTGCTTCATCCTGGAATAATAGCATATAATTCATTAGTAAAACTAATTATTATATCTTATAGAATAAAAACTATTGTTAAACCATACACACACAGTTACCACCATACTAATGTCATGAAGATAAAATCTGTTGGAGACATTGCTGTCAAGGCATCTTACCAAAAATAAAACAAAAACTATACTGTTTATTACTTGTTTTAAAAATCAGTTTATTCTTAATCTTCAGTTTCAAAATATTTTAAAAAACAAAGATAAAAAGGCTTGTTTAAGTACAAAGCTACACAATGAGCTATCTGCACCGTGTCCACCATGAGTATTAAAACCTGATTTTTAGTGTGTGAGCCCTTAATCTTACTGCTGAGCCACCAGGGGCAAGACAGAAAGGGCATCTAAAATTTCTTAAAAGTGTAAACAGATTAATGGATTTGTTAAAGGTACCATAATATAAAAGTACAAGATTTGGTCAGATGTCCAAACTTGTAGTCCTACAGAAATTGAGGTACATCATAGACAACCTGGTTGTTTTTTAATCAAAATGTCTAAACAGCATCACCTAAGTGTTTTGTAAAGTATTTGGTTTTAACAGTTTTTTAGCACCACACATATATTTAAACGGTACCAGATGATCTACAGACTACATGTTAAAAACTTAAACATGTGGAGAAATGTAAAGCAATAATAAAGTGAGCATTTTTTGTCAATTAAAAAAAGGAGAGGGATGTTATAAAATTGAAATGATATACTGACCTTGAAAGTACATGAATTACAATAAGAAGTTCTATGAATAAAAATTTCAGTGCCACTGAACCTTGTTTTAATACCATATTGCATTGTTTCTATACCTTTTTAAGTATTTTTCTCTATTACTCATGAATTAGTAAATAATGCCAAATACCCTGATTCTTGTTTTAACACCATATTATCAAAGTATATTCAGGAATTTTCCTGAATTATGAAATAGTACTAGACCATGGTTCTATTATACTATATTCTGTGATCTTTAAAAACATTGAATAATCACAGAACCATTGAATATATACCAGTCCTTGACCACGACCATCTACTGCAAAACTTTTCTTAAAATGATTTTCAGTGGTTGTTTTTAAACCTAGATTCTGATTAGCTCAATTAGCTGTATGGTAAGCTTAAAAATCATTCTTAAACTCGGTAATAAGACTCAGCTTCTCATAGCTATTTTTGTCACAAGCACAGAAAAATTGCAAACCAAAAAAGAACAGGAAGGCAAAATGCTCTATGCCTCATGTTGCAAGTTGTCACCTCCATGAATGGGATAAGAAGACTTTTGAGTATTTTACTACAAATATGTGCAGTTTTTCAAGAAGTTTACACCCAAAATAAAGGTATTAATATAAAAAGATATGTTAGAGTGAACTCTAAATCAAAATTGTTATATAATAAAAGAAAAAAAATCATTTAAGTGACTTGGAAAACATAAATTCTTAAAAGAAATCAAAAAGTATTTAGTGAATGAGAGTTACCTTGTAAGGTAGTTGTCCACTAACAGTATCATGCTCTTTATGCTTTCCCTCTTGTCCACTTGTGTCACAACAACCCCTTAAAATTATGTTAAATAAAACCAGTCCCTTCTAATTCTCCTTGAATAAGTAATAACAAAATGCTTTCTTCCTATTTCCTTTTTTTCTGATAAAAAATGTTTCTTAAATTCCCACATGTAAAGAAATCTTTCCCTTTGATAACAGCTGAGGTACTTAGGCCAAGAAAGCTTTTATTTATCAAAGGACAGCAAAACTGGAAATGTATTATATATAAGAAAAAAATAAACAAAACTTATCAAAGAAGCAGCTGGTCACCACCCCAACCCACCCTCCTGCCTTCTCCACAGCTGTTATTACACATACACACACTTTCCTTTTTGAACTGTGGATGTCATTGTCTGACAGCCCTAAATATAAATAAAAAACAGCTGGACAAACTTGGTGATGAAAACAAAGGTGATATTTTATATGAGTTGCACCAGTGTTAACCTGGCATCATCAGAACATCAAACAATATAAGGTGGTAAAACAAAACTGATATTTCAAGTGAGTTTCGCCAGTGTTAACCAGGCATTATCAGAGTATCAAGAGTATAAGGTGGTAAAACAAAGCTGATATTTCAAGTGACAGTTCGCCAGTGTTAACCTGGCATCATCAGAGCGTCAAAAATACAGGGTTATGAAAACAAAGTTCAATGGAAACATGACGTTTCACCAGTGTTGACCTGGCATCATCAGAACCTCAAACAATATAAGGTGGTAAAACAAAACTGATATTTCAAGTGACGTTTCGCCAGTGTTAACCTGGCATCATCACATTCATCAGAGCGACAAAAGTACAAGGTAGTGAAAACAAAGATGATATGGCACGCGACGTTTCGTCAATGTTAACGTGACATAATCAACATTCTCGTATTTTTGTCGCCATGTTAAACTAGCAATACGTCGCGTATCATAGCAACATTGTTTTCACCAATTACTATTGCCGATTTTTATTTATATTATAGTTTCTACTACATGACCCCATTCATGCTCAATAGTTGGTAAGTTATTATTCGTGCTCTAAAACTTTTCGTTAAGATGTTATTTGTGAGTCAGGCTACAGTTTTAGCTTTAAAATGAATTCAGACTTCAAACCAAAAACAAGAAAGTCGTTAACTTCTGTGTAAGCAAATTTTGTAGCCAAGTGAGACAAAGCATAGTCGGAACTATGATGATTTTGTGATAAATAATCTTTTTAAATATGGGGAAAAACAAAACTTCGATAAGTTAGTTGGTACACTGTTGAACTTACAACAACTGAGATATATGTATAACAGTTCAATTAGTTCTGGTTTTTTGTGTTAATGGACTGCTTCTGCCTGTTTCTACCAATTCTCTACCATGTTTGCACTGCCTAAAACAACCGTTCAATAAGTTGTATATATGTGAAGTCATATATTACTAGCAAATAGATTACATTGAAACCCAAGCAGATGACAATATATAGACTAAATATTGTAATATGACCATTTACTACAGCAGAAAAATAAAACAACAGGACAGGCTACTTCAATATCACAACATTCGAAAACGTCACGAATATCTAAAACAATTTTAAGAATTTGTATTTCTATTTTAGTGTTAAGTTCATATGAGAAAAGTCATGTGAAATAAAATGCAAGGAACAAAGATACTAGAATACCTTACTTAAAAATCAGCATTTGATTTGCAATGTTTCGCTGGACAGTAAACTTCTACAACACATTCTATAATGCGAGAAATCTTCTAATTGTGCATCCAAAATAAACAAGGGTTCTTGAAACTTACGCAGTTAAATAACCGTTTTCTGCCGACACACTTAAAAAAAATCAGGCATTGTTCGAGTACAAATGAACACGCCAGAAACCATTATTCACAACCGATAGACGCACATTGGTTCTGAGAACTAGCTATGGGCCAATGCCCTGTTCAAATATAAAACATTTAGTGCACATGATAAAAATAAAATATATATATAAAAAAAGGCAAAATATTCAAGGGTTTAACTGACGGAACATATAGACCAGCTAAGGTGAAGTTTATAGAATAAGGAAGAAACAGAGCGATTAGCACTTTATCTGGACCAGAACATAACATTAACAGCACTTTATCTGGACCAGAACATAACATTAACCATATATGATAAGAAACGAGAAAGTATTATTAAGGTGTTTTTTATTTAATTCAAAGGCTCTCTTATTTTTGTCCTGGTCTGTGCAGAAGTGTATAACGGAATGATTCTAGGTCTAACATTCACCTAGTTATCAACTAATTGACAGTTCCAAGTGCATTCAAACGTTGTTCTACTCTATTTCTATCTGGTTAATGAATTAACTTGGCACAACGACTAAGTAATTACGCAGTGCTGCTTGCTTTACTTACCTATTTATCGAAACATTACATAAGAATACATCTTATTTATTCTGCGAAACGCTAGAAGAAAAACACTTAAGACGATACTGTTAATGATATGAGGTATTCAGGGTTTTACCAAACGTTTCAACTCATATGTAATTCTATGCCACAAATGTGTCGGAAACTGTCAACACAGAATGTTTTTTCTTCAACACTTCAGAAAAATATAAACACACATAGAAATCCATATTCTTCAAAAGGTGAAATGACGCATCAGCTTTACAAGCAGCTGTTTTGTCACGTGCAACAAGTACGTGTAGTAGTGTATAAACCATAGTATTGAAATCGGGATGTGTGCATATAGTAATAAGACTTATTCTAAAAACCTTGTCCTCTTGGGAGGACACGCATATATATATAAATGTTACGTTTATCCTTGTTTGGTGTTGAAATTGAAGGCATCCTTGTTTATATATATATATATACAATTAAATATAAATTAAATTCACGAGAAATCGCAGCCATAATATAAAAACATCCAACACCGGGGCTCAAATCATAATGTGGGTGGGTCATCATGTAATGTACCTCGAAAAACCAGGGTACATTACATAATGACCCACCTTATGATTCGTGCTCCGGTTGTTGGATGTTTCTATCGTGGCTGCGATATATATTTTTTCTCACATGAATTTAATTTACATTTAATTGCACTTCATCTAAGGTTTGGATATGCTGCGTCAGATTTGCGCTCTTCTTCCTTATGATGTATTATCTTCCATATTCCTATGATGTATTATCTTTAATTTTTTGCTTTTCTATACAAACACACACACACACACACACAACATTTTCCCTCACAACATTTACAAGACACAAGTTTCGAGATAAATATCCATATAAACAGCCTATTAAACAACATATACAAAAGTTTCGAGATACATATCCATATAAACAGCCTATTAAACAACATATACAAGACACAAGTTTCGAGATACATATCCATATAAACAGCCTATTAAACAACATATACAAGACACAAGTTTCGAGATACATATCCATATAAACAGCCTATTAAACAGCATATACAAGATAGAAGTTTTGAGATACATATCCAT